CAGCCCAGGTGTGCCTGGGCTGCCCCGCTGCCAGAGCCCTTCCGCGGCTTTGCTCCGCGTCTCCCTGGTCTGCAGAATCCTACCTGTCTCCTGCATGTAAAGGGTCCTCAGTCCCAGTGTTGCCGGCGGGACCGCGAGGTCCCGCAGTCTGTGTCCTCCGGGGCGAGAAAAGCCCCGTTCGTACCTGCAAGTCGGGGACTGCCTGTATATCCAGCGTATAAGACGACCCCCGATTTTTGGGGGATGTTTTTTAGCATAAAATGTCGTCTCATACGCCGGAAAATACGGTATGTTTGCAGGATCTACACCAAACAATGCGAGTAATTCTGATGAAGTCATCTCCGCAGTCTGTGTCCTCCGGGGCGAGAAAAGCCCCGTTCGTACCTGCAAGTCGGGGACTGCCTGTATATCCAGCGTATAAGACGACCCCCGATTTTTGGGGGATGTTTTTTAGCATAAAATGTCGTCTCATACGCCGGAAAATACGGTATGTTTGCAGGATCTACACCAAACAATGCGAGTAATTCTGATGAAGTCATCTCCCCTGGATCTTGCAGGATTCAGCTCTGTCATTTGCTTTTCTCCAGCTGGGTATTTAGAATGGCAAAATAGTGGGATTTTACCATCAGCCAAAATAGGGAGGGACTCACACACAAACCAAGTGGACTGAGGAACAACTGCCAATTAAAGCAACAAAAATTAAGTTCAGCGCACCCTCAAAAGCCATTAGTAACCACGCTGTTTAAATGCAATAAGCACACACATGAGTAATTCAGTCTTGTCTGGAGTCCAGGGCACAAAACACAGTATGGTGTTTTTTGAGCTTTCATTTGATAAAACAAATAAGTTCAGTCACATAACACTGTCATTATTCTCATTCATAGATTCTGCTATAGATGCCCATGACATAAGAAAAATTATTAAGGCAGTGTCTGTATTAAGCAAGAAGGCTGTGCCGACACAAAAAGTTGGCGCGTGCGAATGATTTTTGTGGACATTTTTGCCAACAAAATATGTCTACCCCCAACAAGCAGGTTTTTCTTTGTTGGCAAGAGAATGGTCCTGTTGACAAAACAGCATTCACATGTGCACATGCCATGGATGGTAAAACCTTGTAATTTACTGGGGGGGGAAAGGAAGCACCTGTCAAGCAAGTGTAAGTGTAGACATCATATATACAGTAGCCCAATGGCTGTGACTCTGTAACGCTGAAATAGCTGTTCCTTCTGGGCAGCACTGTTGCCTCCCTGGCTGTTCCAGGCGACACTGTTGCCTGAGTTACGTCCTTCACCTCCCTCTGAGGTTCTCAGCTGACTTCTGCACCACTCAGCCAGGCCGCCACAGGGGAGTAAGTGGCACAAGCAGCACGGAGGTGCTGCATGGGGAGCGTGGGGCGCAAACGGCCGTTTGCGCTGCTTGCTCCCTCGCGGCAGCCCAGCTGAATAGCGCAGAAGTCAGCCGAGTGCCACGGAGGGAGGGGAAGGGGGGGCGGAGTGGTGACATACATGGCCAGGGGGCAGGGCCACGTACGTTACCGCCCCT